TGCGCCCCCCACCAAGCCAAACCGCCTGGCAGAGCCGCCTCTGGGGAGAGGGAGGATGCAGGTCCTGGACTCTGCTCACGGAGCTCTTCCGCGCTGTTTACATGTGTGCCTCTCCGTGGTGCAGTTAACCCCGGACCAATTAACAATATTGAATTTCTTATGTGTTTGATTTCTTAAACGCTGTCTCAGGGACCTCAGTTTCCCGGGACTTTCCCTGCTCCTTGGGAGGGCAGACCGGTGCGCTCGTCCCTTACTCGCCTGCTGTGTTTCCGGCCTCTCCGCGCTGTGCTGGAGCCTCTTCCCACTGGGCCCTGGCATCCCCGGGCTTGGCATGGTGTGCTGTCCGGCTGTCCTGGGCGAGCTACAGCTCTTGCAGAGCCCACACAAGCATCCTCCCTTTGCATCTCCCCGTTGCATATCAGCATCAGAAGTTCACGTGATTCCCAAAGGGCCAGGAAGGAGGGAGCTTGAGCGTCTCCAGTTCTTTACGGCAACACCACGCTGTGTGAGCCAAGGATGCACAGGACCCCCAAAGGAAAACCATGTTTGTGTTAAAGGTTGTTCTGCCGGGCAGCTCGCCCGGACACCTCAGACCCAGGTGCGGGAGGAGGGTCATCCGGGGACGACTCCTGCACGGGGCCAGGCTGCTCCCTCAGGCAGCTGCGGAGCCTGGCCCTTCCCCGGGGCCATCCTCAGCACTGCTGTTTGTCCCAGGGGCTGTGAGTTCCCTTGAGCAGCTGCCCCAGCTCCCCACCACAGCGGTCACAGGGGCCCTTCTGTCCTCGGCCAAACAACCTGCAACGTCCCGTCCCTTTCCTTGACTCCCGTGGCTTTATTCTCCACCCTAAGCAGAGTGGCTTGTCCTCTTCTTGATCTCAGCAGCTCCTGCTTCCATACCCACGTCCCTTTTTCCAAGGAACCCCTCACCCAGGCCCGTGGTGAAGCCACGGCCCCTTGGCAGCCCTCAGCACGAGCCTGGCGTTGGCCGCGGACAGAGCGGCTCATGTGGAGGGGGGCAGCGGGACCATCCAGCCACGGCCCCGGAGAGCACTTGTGAGGCTTGTGGGTTCAAGGGAAACTCCTGCCTGCATCGGGTTTTGCTGCGCACCCTTTTCAGGGATTGTGCGAGGGCAGCTCCACTCTGCACCCCTAATTGGATCGTGCTTAATTAGCTGAGACAGGACCTGTTGGTCTGGCTGTCGTGGGGCTCAGACGTGCTGCCTCTCGCTGCAGCGTGTGGGCCTGCCTCTCACCCTACCTCCTTTCTGGGGTTTTGCTGCTAAATATTGAGCAGCTCCACAAGCGCGTGGGTCGTCTTTCTTCGAGGAGCTTTCTGTGCTCTCATGGCTGACTGATGGTGGTGGGATTGTGGCTGAGAGCGCAGCACCGCCACGGGATGTGTCGAGATGAGAGGCCAGCGGGGCGGCCGGGCTCCCTGTTTCTCACCCCACAGCAGTGGCGAGCAGGGACCCTGCCAGCAGCAGGCACTGCGGTTGGAGGGCGCTGCGCTTGCGCTGCTCTGGGGTATCAAATGCAACTTAGGGGATGTTGCTGCTAGAGGTGAGAGCCCCAAGGCAGCGCGCGGCGCCGTGCGGCGCAGGCGGGAGCCCCAGGCGGCGCCAGGGGAGCGGGTGGCAGGCGCTGGGCATGTGCCTGCACGACCACGAGATGCCGGGATGTCTCTGCTCACCCTGTTTGTTCTTTAGGATGTCCCTGTCACACGCCCCGCTGCTGCGACGATTAATTACTATTTATACTTGGCTATAGGTACGCTCTGCATTTTAAAGACCCACGAGGGTGGGAACCCTGCCCTTGTGGCATCCCCACACCGGGTGGTGTTGCAGGAGAGCCACAGCTCGGCCTTCGGATAACATGGTGGGGCCTCTGCAGGCTCACGTGGGCTGGGCCCAATGCTGCACTGGTCCCTCAGCCCCCTTTCCTCCCTTCTCTGCTCTGGGTCCCAGCCACCCCTGCAAGCTTCCCCGATGCCAGGCAGTACTGCCCACACCGTGCAGGGGGGCTCTGAGCAAGGGCTTGTTTTGTAGTGCCCGTGGTCACGTCGCTTGCGTCCCCCGCCTCTGGGCTTCACTGCGGGCTCCTCTCCGCCACCGCGGCCCCAGCGCGGCGAGCGGCAGATGTTTGTGGTGGTGCGCGCTTGGAAATTGAAACGTGGAACCTCTCGCTGTGGTTAGCGGTGGTGACGGGAGCCGTTTGGGCTGTCACCCGGCCGCTGCCGCCGCCGCCGTGAACTTTCCCCTGCTGAGCGGCCACGCTGAGGCCCGGCTGCTCCTGTGCCGGGCGTGGGTCGCACCATCCCACGCGCTGCCCCACATGCTGCGCCTTCCCACACAGCCCCTCTCTGCTCTGGTGCTGGAGACCTGAGCGCAGTCGCCAGCTCAGCCCCGAGCCGAGGGCTGCGTGCTGAGGCCGGGGATCTTGTCACGCCCTGGGGAAGCAGGAGGCTCCCACGAGCTGCATGAGCTCTCCTTGCAGGTGGAGCTACAAGGGGCAACAGCTGGGGTGCCCCGCATCAGGTCTTTGTGTGGGGAAGAGCCTCCGTCAGGCTGCGCTGCGGGAGCAAGGGCAACCCCGTCACCCAGGCGGGAGGTTTACGCTCTGACTGTGCTTCGACCCTGCGGTACCACTCACTTCCTCCTTTCTTTTTCACAGGCGCTGTGGTAAAATCGTGTGTGCCCTGCGTTTGGAGCAAACAACAAACCCACGTCATGTGTTTTTGGTTTCTCAGTTTCCTTGCCTCCGCCGGCACATGCTAGAAACGTGCAGCGTCTGTGCACTTTCCATTTGGTGCAAACAGAACGCGCTTGGTCGCCAGCAGAGATGACAACAGACGGCTTGCCTCGGCGCAACCAAAATATTTTGGGCCCTTGCTGAAGCAGTTTTCCCCCTTGGGTTTCCAGAAGTTTCTTTGGCGGGTGCAGTTTGTCGGGGGGCTGGCGGGGCTGGCTGCAAAGCTGGAGCAGGGCTCAGCAGCCCAATGTGTCTGGCAAACGTCTTGGGCTGCAAACCCCGCTGGACACTTCCCTCCGCACTGGGCCCTGCTGCGACAGTCCCAGCGCTCGCCAGGGCCGTGGCTGCAGCGGCCGGGGTGGTGGAGGACAGGGCAGGGGTGGCCAGGCCGGGGGTGGGGAGGACGGTCCCCTTTGCTGTCACTGCGGTGCAGCGGCTGGCCGGGCTGCCGGGCCGGAGCGGGACCAGGCGCAGAGGTGCCGAGAGGTGTTCCCGGGCACGCGCTGCGCAGCCAGTCCTTGGCTGTTCCCTCCGCGCTGACGGGCAGCGCAGAAATAGCAGCTGGCCCAGTTCCCCCGCCCCCGTGGCCCAGATCTCTAAGAACGGAGCCCCCTCGCCCAGCAACGGCAACAGCAGCAGCATCAGGCACTGCATTTAGCCCATGAGCTCAAGCAGCGGGAGCGGCTGCCAGCAGGATCCCAGCCTGGCTGGGTGACGCTCCTGCTTGGAGACTGCGCTGCAGGCTCTGTTTGTTGCTGTAAACACGCTCGCTGCTGCAGCTTCCCTGTTACTATCTATAGCCGCGATCTCTTGGCTCCCGTGCAAGGCGAGTCTGCGGTCTGGCTCCCAGCTCCGCCTGACCTGAGCCAGGGCTGCCTGACATCCCCGTCGTGGGTGGGTGTCTCCGGGCTTCGCTGCAACCGGCATCAAAACAAAACCCAAACTTGGGA